ACATCGGCAAGTAATTACTCTTTGGGAATTAAGATTTTATCGGCGATGTTGACTTCTCTTTGATCAATTGGGAGAGCGAAATGGAAATATACACAGCGAAATTTTCGCATGAATTGCCCTTCACACTGCTCATTGAGTACCTCAAAAATACGGTATTTTCATGGATTTTTTTTTTTTTTTTTTTTTTTTTTGGACACGAAAAAAACGGTAGGGTCGGCGCATATTATTAGGTAGGGTCGGGTGACCCGAACAAAACAATTTTTTTTTTAGGCCTAATTGAATTTTAGGTGAATACTGATTTTGAAAGAATTATCCTGACAGGAAGCAGTCCTTAAAGCAGCATGTGATAGATTCATGCTTGTCATGAAAATTTATTTGTATTTAAAACATCGTGAAGTCAACATAGAAAGTAGTTTTACACATTGCAAATGGCACTTGCAATCACTATAAATTATCAAAAAGAGGTCAAAATATGTAAAAAATGCCCTTTACTTTGTTAGTCAAGCAGTAGAAATAAGGTGATAAATACTACAAAATCAGTCATAAATGACTACAAAACATTGTTGAATCTGTTTACTTTCTTAAATTCTTAGAACAAGTTTCTCAAGTTTGATTTTCTTGAAATATTTTTGACTCATTTGGAGGCATGCAGCTTTAAGAGATCCCTGTGAAAAGTTGTGGGCAAAAAGGCCCTGGATTGATATTAACAATATTTTCCCCATCCCTATTCCAGGGCTTCACTGGAGATTGTGAGCGACAGATTCAAAGATTATGCTGTCAAGAAACAAGACTTCCTTGGTGATGAAGAACAAATTAAAAAAGTTCTTCAGTTAATTCCTGATGAAGATATCCTTTTTTGCTTAGATGTTATGTTTATTTTTCCCATAATCATCTGCAAGTTTTTATGATGACTGTAACAGACCCATTGTGTATGTTGTCCACTGATAAAGATTTTTTTGTATTAAGTTTATACTGAATTTGTTTTACTTTGATTCTGAAGGAAGCTATAAGCTTATAGATGAGTCTTTTAAAAATTTAGACAGGACCTTAAATTACTAATAAACTACAACTAAACATTACATTATTTTTTTCCTCAATTCCTCACAAGTTTCAAAAATAACATAGAAAAAAACATGGAGAAAAAGGTTCCAACATCTAATCAGAGATGGGTATTAATACAAAATTGCTGTGATGAAATCAGGCATAAGGTGAGTAATCATTGAGTTAATATTTTACATAAAGTGACAGTTACAATGTTCGCGTTTACGTTGTCAACATTGTGAATATTTACTTTACGAAATCTCTATTAAGGAAAGAAGTATGGCTCTTAGCCCAATTGATTTAAACACTTTCTCCTATTAAATTTCTAAATATCTTTCATGCGAGAAAGCTATCCAGCTAGCTGAGTGAACGATGTTGGTTCTACTCTGGGTGCTCAAAATAATGCAAAGAGGGGCATGTGATCTATTCCTCTAGGCAGAGTTATGGCCCTTGATTAGTATAGCTGAAAAGTCATTATTTGACCTAGACTCTGTTGGTGTGACATAAAACACAATCAAAAACAAAAGAATAAAGATTTTTTTTTCATTTATGTAAAATTAACAGAAAGTACAGTATTTCTCTCAATTTAATTTCCTTCAGAATGAGTATAAGAAGTCTCACAATGTTGTGGAAGAGATAATGCTGCAGTACTGTTACCCGAGGCTTGATGTGAATGTCAGCAAAGGAGTCAACCATTTACTTAAAAGTCCATTCTGTATACACCCTAAAACAGGTAGCAAAAATAAAACACTTTTTGTTGTCATTGAGTTTTGTTACATTGTATACATGTTAAAACAGATATCATAAATACAACACTTTCTTGTCGATGAGATTTATTACATTGTATACATGTTAAAACAGATATCAAAAATACAACACTTTCTTGTCGATGAGTTTTGCTACATTGTATACCTGTTAAAACAGGTAACAGAAATAAAGGCATGTGAGGTGGTTTTGACCCCTGGTGTTGCTTTAAGTTCATAATACCTGAGGTTAGCCTAAAGCATTTTGTTTCAGCACAATATAACCTAATCTGTGTTGGTGTGCCGTTAAAACCAAACAAAAGAAATAAATGAATTTTAGCTCACCTGAGCTAGCTCAGGGTATTAAGCTTTTAGGATCCTTGAATGTCCGTCATCTGTCATCCATCTGTCATTCACACTTGTTCCTTAACACTCTAGCGGTCACATTTTTGCCTCAATCATCATCAAACTTTGTCAGGATACTTATCTAGGTAATAGCCCAGATGAGTTCGAACATGGGTCATCTCTGATGAAAAACTAGGTCAAAGGAGAAAAAAAAAATAGAAAAATCTTGTTAACACTAGTGGCTACTGTTTTGATCCAAATATCCTGGAAATTGGTCTGACAGTTTGTTTTGATGATTTCTAGGTCAAGGTCGAATATGGGTCACCTGGGGTAAAAACTAGGTCACACTGCTTAAATATGGATAATCCTTGTTAACACTCAAGTGGTCACATTTTTGACTCACCTGTCATGAAACTTGGTCAGAATGCTTGTCTAGGTAATTGTTCCGATGAGTTCCATTGGTCAGGTGAGCGATCTAGGGCCATTTTGGCCCTCTTGTTGTTGTTCTTATGTTGACAGTGCTTTTGAATATGATACATAGTATCAGTATTTTTAGTCTGAGGGGCCTTCTGTGGCTAAGTGGTTTGCTGTTGTAAAGGTTGATAACTGTTCGACTTCAAACCATTTCCCGCTCACTGCTGTGGGTTTTAATCTTGTTAGATAATTTCCTGTTAGGAAGCTATCCAGTTTGCTTATGGAACTTCGGTGGTTCTACTTAGGTGTCTGTTGGTGTGTGATATAATGCACAGACGCATAAGTGTTGATGATGAAAAAAAAAAAAATGCGTATGTCTTATTATATTCTAATTAAACTGGCATTTATGCTACTAAAGGGAATTACACTTCAAACTCTGAGTAGTTCATTGTCATCAGAAGATTGCACAGGACCCGTTAATAACTTTATTAAATTGCATTTATATTTCAATAATTATCTGCCCTTTGAACTTAGAATATCATATGTGTTGGATAATATTCCATAGAATATCATCTTAAATACTTTAAATAATAAATAAGTGATTAAATTGTTTATTTCATTGACAGGGAGAGTTTGTGTACCGATTGACCCAGAGAATATAGATGAATTTGATCCATTCGCTGTTCCAACCATAAGGTAATGTTGCATGTTATTCTCATACTGTGTCAGGTATGGAAATATAACAGTTTTAGCAAGAGAGAGCTATTGTATTCACGGCAGTGATTTTTCTCACTTAATTAGAAAGAGGCCTTAGCCTCTTGATTTTGGGAAAAATTATCGCTAAAATTGCTGATTTGTGAAGTAAAAAAGCTGGTTTAAGTTTAGATTTTTGGGAAAACTGCATGATTTTAAAGAAAATTTCAACTGGGAAGAGGCCTTTTTTCGGAGTCTGTTATATAAGCAGGAAAATCACTGCACGGTCACACTGCAGTTTTTTTTTGCATGCAAGATGATATCTCCAGAGCTACCAAGGGAATGAATTGACATTTAAACACTTATTTGAGAGCATAATTACAAGAATTTTGCCAGAATTATTGCTTTTTTGAACTTAGAAAATTCTACATATTCCAGGCTCTTTTTCTTACTGTCAAGCACTGAGATTAGTCATGCAGGTTGTCCTTCAGACAGCTCTTGTTTTATTTACAACATTTATGGAATGGCAACCAGTCTGTTTCAGGGTTAGAGGAGGGGGGGGGGTTGTATCATTACATGTATTACTTTTCAGACAAATAAAGGCAAAATTATGTATAATTGTCATATTATTTGATGACTCATTTCTGGTAAAATGTTCTGGTATTATTCTTTGCTGACCACAAAAAAAATTGGGGCATATCAAAAACAAAACTAAAAATGGAACCATAAAAGTTTGATATACAAGTTTCTGCTTAGAATATATAGGAAAAATCCTGTGTCTTTCTTTTTACCTTGACACATTGAGAACATCCACTTATGAAAGTTCAGCTCAGTAACCTAGAATTTTTAGCAGACAATGCTCTTGTTTCAGCACTATAGTAGATGAATTGAACACCTCGGATGGTAGTGCTGAAGAAGGGAAAAGAGTAAAAGGTTTGTATATTTCTTTACATTGTCCAATAGACTTACTTCGGAATGGAGAATATTGTGGCAAAAAAACTTTGACAGTTACAGTTTCAAAACTTAGGCGCATCCATTCAGTCTTCGACTTAACCCACTCGACCGACGACCGAGTCGAGTGAATTTGCCGACGGTCGAGTGAAAAATCCAAGCTGATAGCCTGTCTGGTCGAGCGGTATTTTTCGTATCCGATTTAAGTTACATATCCGAAATATGTGCACTGAAACGCTTATGAAACATTGTCGATTGTTAGACGCTTGTTAAGCGTCTTTATGAAAGAATTGCTAAACGCTTGTTAAGCGTCGGTGGACTTAGACTATATCCGGTCAAAATGTTTCTTCGATATTTTCAAGGCGCTACGCCAAAAAGAAAGCTACCTAAACAAACAAGTGACGAAAATAGTAAGAAAAATTATGAAAAAGATTGAAAACGTAAGTTTCAATCATCATGGGTGGTAAATAGTAAATCATCATGGGTAAATCATCATCATGGGTGGTAATGTATAATGAGGATGAGGGAATTTTAACATGTTCTGTGTGTAAAAAATTTTCGAAGTCAGAAGATAATGCTTTCGTGAAGGGAACTAAATACCTAAGAATTGACGGCATTAAAGCACATGAAAGTAGTGAATTTCATGTAAAGTCTATAGATCGTGAAACTGCAGAGAAAACCCCTATTGTGCAAAGTAAGGCTATTAAAACCCTAACTGCCTTAAAAAAAGATGATCATGACAAACTTATAATCAAAATGAGAAATGCCCATGCAGTGCCAAACATAGCCTAAGTTTTAGATGCTATTAAGTACTCTGTCGTTTGGATAAAATGAAAAATTTGCCAATTGGTTCAAAATACTGTAATGATAAAGCTGGGGCTATGTTTTGTGAGTCCATTTCTAAGACAACAAGAGCTGAAGTTGTCAACAAAATCAACAATTGTTCTTGGTGTAGCATTTCATGTGATGGGTCTACTGACTTCACGGGTGACGACCTAGAAGCAGTGTATGTTCGAACATGCTCAAAGGGAAAAATAGAAGACTCATTTTTGCATCTTGGGTCCTCTGAATCCGCATGTAGCGAGGATATTTATCAGTTCCTGATGCAGACCCTTCAGAATTTGAAGATTGAAAGTATTGTTAACACTAAACTTGTTGGTTTCTGTGCTGACGGAGCTTCAAATATGCAAGGTAAATTCAATATTTACGATTTTATAAGTTTTATTTTATAAAAGTAATCAATAATTGATTTAGTTTAGTGTTAACAACGCTTTCAATCTTCAAGTTCTGAAGTGTCTGCATCAGAAACTGATAAATATCCTGGCTACATGCGGATTCAGAGGATTCCAAATGCAAAAATTAGTTCAATTTTCCCCTTTGACAAGTTCACACATACAGATTAATCATATTTAGTTATCAATTAAAATGTTCATTCACATACACCTGATTTTTAGGTTAATTTCAAAATAAATTTTGTGAAAAGTAAAGCAACATTTGCATATTTTTGTTGTTGTTTTTTTCTCAATACTATATTTGTTTGATATTTTCCAGGATTGAAGAAAGGCGTAGCAGCTCTATTGAAACAAAAGTGGCCTTATATTCTAGTAACTCACTGCCTTGTGCATAGGCTGGAGCTGGCCTTTAAAGACACCGTAAAGAAGTCTTCACCCAAACTTCATGACAAGGCCACAACTCTACTTCTTGGTTTATATTACCTTTTCAGAAAGAGCCCAAAAGAAAAAAAAGGTTATTTCATTATTACTTTTATCATCATTATTTAGTGTAGTTAATAAATTAAGGTTAAATGCATAGTTTAATTCTGATGTCTCAACACTTAAAGGCAACCCTGAAATTCTGTCTTGAAAATCCACATAGTGTCAGTTTGACTTCCAACTAAAATAAAACTATTGACTTATTCAATTGTTCTTGCTTTAACACTCATTGATTTTGATTTGTGTTGATTTTTTAGGGTTGCAACGAACTTTTGAAGTACTTGGTGAAAGACAGCTGTTACCTACTAGAATTGGTGGCACAAGATGGTTGCCCCACTTTATGAGGGCAATTAACATATTTCATAAAACTTACAAGGTGTTACGTTATCATCTAGAAACATCATCTCACAAAAATGCAAAGGCTGAGGGATTGGCTAAAATTTTAGGGGATGGCAATGTGATAGTCTACCTCATTGCTATGAAGGTAAGTCATTTTAGTTAATTTACGGTATGATATATCCTTTGCATTAGTGGCACGGCACTGCTCCCCAGTATCATATAAATCTTGAACAACTGTGTGTAATAATCAAATGCTTGTTAAATGTTAATCAAAATCATATTTAATCATAGTTCAGATAAATTCAGACCAGATTAGTTGTATTTTTATGAAATGTAAAGAAATACTTATTACTATATAAATATTTTCAGAGAGTCATCAACAATTTGCAGAACCTGTCTCTGTACCTGCAGCAAGACCAGATAAGCCTCGCTGATGCTTACACACGAGTAGAGTCAGCAAAAATAACTTTTGCACAGCTTATAGACAAGTAAGGATACTATTTATATAATTACTACAATGAGAGTTACTGTTCTATTCAAGTGCAATAAGTGTTACGTAAATTGCTTGTGCAAGAGTATTAATGTGTAAAACATTTCAGAGAAGACACCAGTGTTTCTGCTGTGTTGGAAACTGAAACCTTCAGTGGTGAGAAATTGATCTTCAAGGGTCAAAAGTGCTCCAGTAATTTACTGAATGGTACAGTCAGAGAACTACTGGCATCTCTAGAAAGCAGATTTCCCCCATCAGAGTTGATTTCAGCCACCCTGATTGCATCATTCAAAAACTGGCCTCATTTGAATGATGATCAATTAAAAGGTTTAAATTGCAGTTTAAGCGTTGACAGTTTTATGTTCCCAGTTTACACAGTTTGAGTTTGTTGTTGTGCAGATCAGCACTCTTTTCTTTCAAAGAGATTCTTCTAATTTGGTAAATTGGTTGCAAATGAAAATGAAATATATGATGTTTAAATGTGTGTTTTAATGTAACAACATTGGTCTAATAGTAATTTTGAATTGTATGCAATAGGATTTTGTGTTTGTCAGCTGGTAGAATAAGTAAGTTCTGAATAAATGTTTGCTGTATTCTAAATGTTAAAATAATCATTTAATTTGAATTATATTTTATGCAGATTCAGTGTATGGAGAGAAAGAGGTGGCGGTTCTCTACAATCACTTCGGCCCAGTTGTATTTCCTGATGTCACAGACACTATTACTTTGGATGATGTAACAGATGAATGGACAACATTAAGAACACTTGTTTATAAGAAGTAAGTGAAAGTTTCATAAATCATTTTACAGCCTTATTGAGTAATACAAGATTTTTTTTTAAATGTTTTAAATATGTATGTTGCTAATAATACTAATAAGCACATACAATATACAAATAAAGAAATGTGCTTTTATTTACAGGGATCCACACATGAAGGAGTTGTTAAAGTGGGAACATATAATCTGTGACTTATCAGACCAAAATCTTCAAAACATCTTTAAATTGATGGAAGTTGTACTGGCTCTTCCACCTACATCAGTCAAGTGTGAAACAGCATTCTCCGCCATGAAACTTCTTAAAACAAAACGAAGAGGTCGACTTGGTAACAGACGGCTTAATGACCTCATGGCTATCAAGATTATGTCACCAAGCATAGAAGAGTTTGATCCTGAACCAGCTATTGCTGACTGGCTGGTATACACATTACTTTAATTTGGTCATATATTTGTAACAGTTACATAGTACAGAATAACATTTTATTTTAACAATTGATTAATAAATTCAATTCAATAATTTAATTTTATCAATTAGTATTTATTCCAATTGTTAAAACAATACATTTTTAATTCAAATTATTATTAGATGTCTACACCATCTGAACAAAAGAGACGAATTGGGGAGAGAACTGTTAAGACCAGCACATCAAGTACAGTCACTTTATCATCTGATTCTGAGGATGAAGTAATGGAAGAAGCATCAGTTAGTGGAATACAGGTAACATCATTAAACATTTATATCCTGACTTGCTTCACCAATTTTACTTTTACTTGGTTTTAAACATAGCTTACTCTTTTGTTCTATAAATAATGTGTTTATTTATTTTCAGACAACTTTGAACATACCTGCTAGGTTGTCTAAGAAGGATCTTGAGTGTTGTGACGATAGTGACTCAGATAGCGACGATGAGGACACAGACATGACAGAAGATCTTGTTTTTTCCATGTTAAACACATACTTACGTGAATAAATGAGACAAAGAGTTACATTTTTGATTTTCTGTTGTTTAATGGTCCATAAAACATGCAAATTGCTATTTCTATGCAAAAAGTACTATATTGTTTCGGGCTAGTTAAATTTGGTTTGGGCTAGTTAAAATTGTAAGCTGCTAGCCCGATTGGGCTAGTGCTGAAAAAAAATTAAGGCGAAGACTGTCCATTGTGACTGGTAGTGCACCTCAACAGCAAAAGTTAGTTTGTACCAGGAAAAAAAATATTTGCTGTAATCCGGATTACATTTATTTCCAAGGTTTAGTGTGCATGTTCTGTACATATTGTCATGGTTGCTTATATTCTCTTGAAACTTCATACATATTATTGGGATCATAATATTAAATTCTTTTTGTTATGCAGTAACTAAGATTAAATTAATGAATAATCAAGTATGCTAAGATTAAATCTTGTGAATAATCAAGTAAGCTGGCCATTTTGCAGTTTTTGTGTTGTTAAAGAAAGTGTATTCAGGCAAAAAATAAAAAAAAGACAGTCTGAACGGAAATATTATTTTTGTTTGAAATGAAATTATAATTTCGAGTTTCTTGTTCTTCCATGCAAGACAGATAGAAAGAATCCCGTAGAAATGAACTTTGTAAACATGAAACATTCAACACATATATTTCTGAAAACACCTGTACAAAAAATGAAATTTTGTATTTAAAGCCCCTTTAAGACTTTTTCTGAAAAAAAAAAAGGTTTGAAAAATAAGAATTCTAGAATAAGGGGTGAAAATTAAAATCTAGAATATGATTGGGATAAAAAAATTCTTTTATTTTTAGCTGTTTGACAAAGTGTTCAAGGTTGTTGACTTAAATTGAGCTGACATCTTTATCAGTGTTTGTTTTCTGAAAAAGTTGATCACCAGTGAAAATGCTGCAGAAAGACTTTGAAGTGTGTTAATGAGAAAATGTTTGTGATCGTGTATATTTGCTTTCAGATTACAGACAAACATCTTTAAAGACGTGTATCGAAGTGTTTGATAAGTTTTTAGCAGGTTTAGAGAAAACCTGGAAAGGAAAACTGATTGAACAGAGTGGTAACACAATATTTTATTGTTGTTTTTTTTACTTCCTCTTTCAAACCCATTTTAAACGCTTTAAGCCCATGAAAATTACAGAAAAAATTTAGTAAAGTAATTTAAACAATATCCATGAATCATCCATATATTTCTGTTTATTGAAAATCTTTTGTTTAAAAAAAAATGTAATTTTGCTTTAGACTGAATCGATGAAAGCTCTGCCAAAATTATTATTATTTCTGTAAAGGTTATTTTGTTTTCTGTTACAGTTTCTTAGATAGTACTCCGTATAGTTGAACCATTTTTTAAAATTTTTTCTTTCATTGAAAAGTTAAAGGGATTCAATAATTTGTACTGAAAAACAAAATACCAATTACACTCTAGCCTCAATATATCGCTCTTCGTTATAACGCCTATCTCATTATAGTGCTCATAGACCTTGGCTCCCAAAAAAAAAAAATCTCCCCCCCCCCCTCCCCACACACACACACACACACACACACAAAATAAATTAAGTAGATCTAGATTTAAAGTGCGCTATAACGTTTGTTCAATTTGACAGTCAAGAACAATAAACAATTGTTATTAGGACATTTATGAGTGCCAAAGGTGTGAAAAACATGCCCAGGTAAGTGTTTATCCGCTATTTTGTTGTTTTACCTGTCCATCAGTCAGGCATCAAATTGTTTCCAAAATCTCAAATTCATATAACTGTGACATGGGCAACCGGTGGTGAGTGTAAATAAACTAAAATTCACACGCATATCTTTGACGTGTAAACCTCGCTGAATTAAATAAGCCACACAAGCCCAAAATCAATTTAAAATCCTGCGGCCATGACAGGAAGTAATTGGCGTTTGATTAACTAGGGGACACAACTAAAGCTGGACTGTAAATTACAGTGTAATTTACAGTTCAGCTTTAGTTGTGTCCCCTAATTAATCAAATGTTATTACAGTCATGGCTAACTGTTTACACTACATTCATGATTTATGTTTTTCTTTCGAAAGTTTTTTGTTTCTTTTAAATATAATAAGTATTATTTGTGAATATAATATATGTTTACATCATTGAATTGTTTAAGAAAAAGATAATGTCGATATTCATTGAACAGTAAGTAAAAATCGTCAACGTTATATATATATGTGGTGGGTGGGGTAATGCGGTAATTTTTTGCAATGAGCGTTCTAATGAGAGCCTCGGTAGAAGGCGGTGTTGAGACATTGGACCCCACCATGAACGTTATAATGAGGCTATAGTGTAGTTTACATCTTAGATTATGACAAATTAGTTCAAGTAACATACTGCTTCTGACATGTGGTAAGAATGTAACAAAGTTTACATCCAGGGGTCTTCATTATTAACAGATTGGTTTTCCATATTCATCAGTTAAAATGCTGTTAAAATCAGTTGTATTTTAAGCCAGTAGGTCAAAATACATGGATGCAAGCTTTCAGGCATATGCCTGAAGCTCGGTTTTTTGTGACAAATTACATCATGTTTTACTATTAGATTATGTAGCAAAATGATTATGAATTACAGTTTTCAGGTTTTTCCTAATTTTTAACTTGCACCCATGAAAATAACCTCCTTGACCCTTGGCCAAATCGGTTGTTTTCCTTGGCATATCTGTTGTCTCGGATAAAAATGAAAACCCTGTACATCGGTTATTGAAACATTAAAAGCACAAGTTTACCCCTACTACATAGAAAGAACAGTATTTCAAGGGCTTAATGTGCTTTATTGTGTCTTTAAGCTATATTCTCAAAAAATTATCCTTTTGTGAGTTTTATTTAGCAGTGATCTCTGGTAAATAATCTAGGGTGTCCAAGGCTGTCTTGTTCCTAACATGCTGTTAAAGATCCAGTGTATTAATATGATTCTAAGTTAAAGATACTGTCCACTGTCTGTGCTGGAGTGGTTGAGGTAGTTGAATTCAAACCACTTGCCTCTTAACTGTGGCGTTTTGAATACTGTCAGGAACTATGGATTCTTTCATGTGAAGAAGCTATCCAGCTAGCTTACAGAATGTCAGTGGTTCTACTCGGGTGCATGGTTGTGCCTGAAATAATGCACAAAGAGGCATCTGAGGTCTTCCTGCACTGCTAAATCTCTGAAGTAGCCATATGACTTGTGTACAGTGATGGTGCGTTGTAAAACAAACTAAACCTCCACTAATTTTATAAATGAAAATTAAAGTATGGTTTTATACATTTGTATATTTGTAGTAACATTGTCGTGAAATAGGCAGTATTGCTTTTTAAAACAACGAGTATTAATCCTCATTCTTGTTTTATTCTTTTTCAGATATGAAAATGGAATTCTAGAAAAAAGATTTAGATAACTCTAGAAAAAAGGATATAAAAACAGAATTCTAGAGCAAGAGGTGAAAATTGAAAAATCTATAACATGATTTGGAAAAAAGAACAAAAGAAAAAAAAATTATGAGATCAAGGAAAGAATTTAAGAACATGATCTAAAAATAGAATTCTTGATACAGATATAAAACTAAACATCTAGAATACAATGATGTGGGGGAAAAAGAATTCTAGAGCAGCATCGTAAAATAGAAGTTTAGAATTATATGATAAAACTGTTAAGCTAAAAAGGGTTAAATGAAAGGTTTTTAAAGACAAAATGTGAAAGTGAAATTTCTAGAGTAAAGTATAAAACTGGTAATCTAGAAAGGATATAGTAGAGGAATTCTAGAAAAAAAAGGAAAGCAAGTTGCACAAAATGTAAACAGAAGGGTTTTTTTTTATGAAGTTTCATTGACAGTGAATTGGAAGTAATAAAATGGGCACCATTGAACACAATCATTAACATTGTTTGGAGATTATACAAAACAACAAAATATAATGTAAATTTGGATCTTTGACCATAAACAATGACTTTATTGGGTGATAAAGAATGAACATATTTTTACTTTATTCATGACTTTGTTTCACTCAAACATTTTTAATACTATATTTAGAATAAACTATTTATCAGATATTATGTTTATTCTTTGATGCAATAACTGTTTTACACCTGATTGTCTTCCAGAGTGTAAGGTCGAAAGTTTAAATTGCCTGCCATATTGAATCAAAGATGTAATACACAACAGGGACCAGATACATCTGCAATGACAAATATAAAAGCACATTATTTAAGGTATACATTTAAGTCTTGTGAAATTAACAAAAAAAAGAGCCCTCAACAGATATGCCCAAAAATAATTATTGTTCCAAGTAGTTTTTTTGTAACTTAGTGGTGGCATGGTATATACAACTTTTTATGAAAAAAAAAAAAATTCCCCTCTGCCTGACATTCATCATATTATAACCCGGAGTTGCACCTGTGCAACCTGCCAAAAAAATTGGTGATTTATCTGGACACGTTAAGGTCCCAGTCTTCAAACCACTTGCCTGTCACTGCTGTAAGTTCAAATCCCATCAGTCTTTGTATTCTTTTGAGTTAAATATCCAGCTAGTTGGTGGTTCTACTCGCAATCGGGGTGCCGGTTCAGGCCTGATATTATGTATGGAGGGGCACCGGAGGTCTTCCTCCACCAGTAAAGCTGGAAAGTAGCCATATTACTTGTACTCTGTTGGTGCAACATAAAACCAACAAAAAAACCAATGTAATATTGGCAATTAGATAAATGTATAATGTAGAAAATCTCTTGGCTTATTTCTTATAGTCAATAAAGTGCATAGAATTAACTATAGCAGTGTTGCACTATATCCATGCTCACATTTTTGGTAATGTTTTTGTACTAACTCGCTGAGGTATTACATCATCCCAACACCAAGGCTGACGAACTTGACTTTTTCAAGAATTTTGACAAAATAATGCTCAGAAATTTTAAATAATTGGTATTGTAAATAATTGGAAGTGACTATCATCCATACATCTGGGCAACAGAATATATCAATTGTCAAAAATTGTTCAGTTGCAAAGTTAAGCCCCTTTTTAACTCATGATGAGGTATAGTGATGGGGCTATGTCTGGTGTCGTGCATTGTCATCATTTAGGTTGTGATCAGTCTGGCTGTCACTGTTTTGGA